TCTTGTTCACCCATTCTGCCAAGATCACTTCCTTTGGGTGGTTCTCCTGCGCCCTCACCAGCTGCAACCAGTCCACCTTGCACCAGAACTGCCACTTGCCGCTCCTCGAATGGGGACTGGGGTCTCTCTCCACCACAACTTGATCGGGAAGGCGAGCCGGCACGAGCAAGCTCCTCCCCTCTTGTCGTCCCATCCAGTGCCCCTCCTGCATGCGTTGAACAGCTGCATGTTGTCGCTCTACTTGTCCACGACGTCCAACGCATTGAGATACTCTGGCTGCTGCTCGCCCTCTTTCCTTCGCCGTTTTGTAGTCGCCCATCTCGCGCATTTCTTTCACTTGTCTTCCAACTCTTGTTTTGCCACCTTCAGCGCCCCTTCGTCATGTACGTCCATGGCCGCGTACTTGTCATATTCTTCTGCACAGCGAGGGGCCTCCGTCATTCCCGCTCCTGCTTTGCGGAAGGCTGTAAATCTTCGCCCATTCAATCATAGATCATCCAGCAGCGCCTTTGCCATTTCCTTTGGCTTCTCTATGGCGATCTTGTTTCTTACTGTACGAGACTTGATATTTGGGCCTCCTTCTTCTGCCAGCTGTACTTGGGCAGCTTTGATCAGTCCGAGTGCCTGGGCTGCCCAAGCTGCTCCTTTCGCGTTCCTCTTTTGTTCTCGTAAGCCAGGCGGAGGAGGAGGAGGAGGAAGATGAGGAGGAGGAGGGATCCAGAAAACGGCGAGAAGCCTCAAGGTCAGTTTCCTTCATGGCGAGAAGATGCTGGGCGAGGAAGGCCCGCCGGGGGCGGAGGGAACCCGTGGCTCGCCGCCGCGGGCGTGGCTGCACGGGCATCGCGCGGATTGACGGAGGGGGGGCGGGAGCGCTGTGCAGCTCGGGGGTCCCAAGATAGGGAAAGACCTATCAACAGCGTTCTTCGTTTCCGTTTTGTTTTCGATTTCCCCTCGTTTTGTCTTCAATCCGCCTTTGCTGAAAAACGACATCGCAACGAAACCGACCCACGATATCGCCGAAACACCGTTTGGGTCCACCCCTGTCCCAAGACGGTACGGTGACAGACCGTACGTTGGCCTCAGAGAATCTCAAGTGTTGCCATGCTGTTTCGGGACCTCGAAGGCCCTGGTCGTCCGAGACGAGACGTCCTCGGAGAACTGCCCAAGTCCCCAGACCGCGCGGCATCCCGAATCCCCGCCGACCCACCACACATTGTGGTCACCGCACCGTTTGGCCCCCCCCCGAAAACAGGAGGGGGGGGGGCAGTATCGGCCATCTCTCGAACTGGGAAACCGGATCGGATGGGAGCGTGCTGCGGAGCAGGCGGCCTCGACGTGGCGCCGAAGTCGACGCGGGTCGGTTGCTACGACGCAGACCATCGGTGTGCGAACATCTGGCAACATCGGGTCGTCGGAATATCGGAGTCGAATCGGATCGAGCCAACCAGAACCGATCTCGAATCGGATCGATCGGGTCGCCACGGGACATGGTTTTCTCAGCAATGAAGACCACCACCCAATGGCTCCACGACGTGAGACCGAATATCATTGGACAATCCAGGAACATTATACGCTGGCTCCGAAGCCCTAGATCCGACCATGCTGACGTCTCGCTTTCGCTTCCGCCGTCTTCCGCTGGCGGGCCCGTCGCCGTTTTACTTCCGCTGGCTTCCGCTGAAGCCGAGACGCGCCGAACACGAGACCCTTTCTGAAACGCCCTGGGGTATCGTGTGCGGCAGGTTTCCGTGTCGTGACGGCGTTTGGCATTGGCTTCTGCACCGCGCGGATGCTCAGCTGTGCGCGATCGGGGCGCTCCCATAGCGCAAATCGTTCGGCATCGGCCGATTCCGGGCTACTGGCGGCGATCAACCACACTCCCAGCACGGCGGCGGGAAGGGCCGCAGGCCACAAGGCTCCCTGTCTGTCTCTGTTACGACTCCCCCGGCCCACATGGGCAACATCTCCTTCGCCTTTCCTGCGCCCTTCCACCTTACTCCCCCCCTCCTCCTCCTCCTCCTCCTCCTCCTCCTCCTCCTCCTTCTCCTCCTCCTCCTCGTATTCGTCGTCGTCGTCGTCGTCTCCAGGGTCGGCGGCGCCGGCCGTGAGGCCTTAGCAATCGTTCGGCACCGGCCGATTCTGGGCCACGTGGGCACTGGCGGCGTTCCAGGGTGCCGCCGCCGCGCTGACACGGGGGGGGCCCCTCGCCGGGCGCGCCCGCTGGCCGTCCCCGGTCCTCGGCCTCGGGCGGGCACGCCCCCGCCTGTACGCCACGCCGCGGGCAGGGGGCCGGGCGCCGCGCCCTCCGTGTGCGCGAGCGACTCGAGCGCGGCCACGAAGCCAGAGAAGGTGGCCCAGGTCCAAACCAAACCCAGCAGCAAGGTCAGGGCATAGCTGGCGCGGTACACCACCTTGACGGGCACGCACGTCCCGAGACCCAGCTGCGTCAGGCTGGCCCAGGCCGCAGCGAGCAGGCCTCGCCCCAGCACGGAGACGGCCAGGAAGGTCACAATGAAGCAGGCCAGGCCCTGAGGGGGCAGCTCCGCCATGAAGCTGAAGCCCATCAAGCTTCGCGGGCAGCAGATACCTTGAAAACCGCCGAGCAGGATGACGCTGGCGCGTCGCTGGTCGACGGCAGCCTTCTGGCGCCACCTTGCCGGCACGGGGCGCTCCTCGACGGGCGCGACCGTGCTGCTGCACTCGGCGCAGATGAGCCTCTCGGCGAACGTGACGGCGCCGTCCGTGGGGCCTTGCTTACGGCAAAGCGAGCACTCGAACTGGGCAGCGTGTGAACCCTCCGCTGCATCATTTGCTGGCGCTCGCAGAGATGATCGCCGCATCGTCCCACCACCATGATCATGCTCGCACTGCCTGAGAGAACTGGAGCCATCTGCATGCGTCTCCACGTAGGCAGACTCCTGCCAGGCAAAGTGGCACGCGATGATGATCAACGAGATGCCAATGGCGTAATCGCCAACACTCTCCCACTGCTCCATGTAGCTCGTCGCGAAGCGGCCGAGCAGGAATGCGACGGCCGCGACCGCGACCGTGCCGAGGCAGCGTCCAAGGCCCCAGCTGGCCCCGATCACGAAGGCGCGTGGCGGCTTGGCAGACGCGCTGAGCGCAGCAAGGATTGCGAGGTGGTCCGGAGATATCACGTGGACGAGGACTAGGACGGTGGCCTGCCTCCGAAGAGGCAGGTCCAAGAAAAAGAGAAACAAAGCAACAAGAAGGGGCGACCGCGTTTTGCACAAGTTGCTCACCCCGGACAGGCCCCAATACTGGGGAGTGCGGTGGGCCGCAAAATTGGCCGACGAAAAAAATCAACACCTGGGAGGGAGCCGCACGCTCCGCTGCAAGACTCAGCAGCCTGACTGGGTCTATCCCACTTTCTGGGACTGATGCTACACAGTGCGATGCAACACGGACATGGGGCGCAACATTGCAGCCTGCCTGCAATGTGAAACCCCAGTCTTATGTGCAGATGCGGAGGGAACGCGCGTCCCTGGGGATCCCAGAATGAACGCCGAAAGTCGTCTGGGTGACTTACAGCACGTTCTGAAATACATCGTTTCTGGAGAAAAATTCGCACCCAGTGGGGTTTGTGTGCTAGCGCCGAAGACCTGCACATGAAAAAAACGTTACCCGCGCAAGGCCTGCGCAAGGCCCGCGCAAGACAAAAACGTTACTCGTTCAGGGCCTGCGCAAGGCCCGCGCAAGACAAAGCGTTACCGCAGGAAGGCCCGCATGAGACATTTATGCACACAAGACTGCGCTGCTGAGTGGCGTTTGCCGCAACTCCCCAGCTGAAGCCAAGCATTAGGGGGCGAGATGGGGGACCAAAGCCAGACTAGGAGGCACCACCGACGGTAGCCGCGTCACTGCTGGCAACGCAGGACCAGTGGACTGTCTACTCTTGGGGTCCAGTCCCTGCATAAAATAACCAAGCCTGTACTTGGCGGTGCTCGATTCTGGGCGCCTGTTACACAATTTGTGAAGGCGTCCAACATTTGTGGATGAGTACGAACCGAGATATCACGTGGACAAAGCTGCAGACAAAGCCGAGGATGAACGCGTGGCGAAGGCGCGCCTCCACCACTGGAGCACCAATGGCCCGCTGGGCGATGTCGAGGTGCCTCTCGTGCGCCACGCGCCCTGCGCTGCCCCGCCGCCCAATATTGACGGGTGTCTGCTCCTGTGGGACCGCCGCTGGCTCTGCCGCGGTGGAGCTGCCCCTGCCCTTCGCACGAGGCGTCGGCGCGGGCCCCGGCACTACCGCCGCGGCCGTGGCCGCTGCGGAGCCCGCGCGCTTGACCTGCAGCAGTGACGGCGCCTCAGTGGACTCCCCATCGGCCGCGCACTCCCCGCCCTGCGCGGCCTGAGGCCCCGCGCCGCAGCTCCGGCCCCAGAGGGCGCCCGCCGCGAAAATCGCGGCGCGGAGTGTCCAGGGCATTGCGAACTGCGATCTACGCGCAAGGCTTGCGCTGAAGGCACCGTGAACCAAAATGGCTGCGATGACAATGCATTGAACGGTCTTCGGGTTCTGCCAGAGCCCGCTTGGGCCGTCACGGGTCCCACCTGGGGCCGTTTTTTATGCTTCTCCGGGGGCTCTCTCGGGCTGTGATGGGGCTCAGGGCTCTCTTCGGGCCGTCTTGGGCCGCTCTGTCGTCGTCTTGGGCTGTCTCGTGGCCCTCTACGTCTGCGGTGGCCCGTGCGAGACCAGCCCTGTAAACATCTTGGCCCCCGAAAGCCTGGACAGTGAAAGACACAGAGAAATCAAATTATGTGTTCCATGACTTGGTGTCCCAAGTGCACCCCGCAACTCCTCCATGACGTCCTCTTGGGGCATCCTTGAAGTTCTTGGACCGTCCCTGAGCTTGTCAAGTCTGTATTGGATTGTTATGTTGTGGTCCTCGAGCCCTGGGGCGCCTCGGGGCATCTCTCGGCCGTCTTGGGGCGCCTGAGATTAATCCAGATTCGGGTGCCCTGAGCGGCCATGCATTCGAGAGAAGAGGCGCGGCGGCGAATCGCATTACGGCGCGGCACAGTGTGCGGAGGGGTGGCATGCGCACACCAACACAAACACAAGCATAAAACACAGACACAAACACAAACACAATCACACACACGGACACACACACACATACACACATACTAGAACCACGCGAGCGTTTCGCGCGCGCTTCGGTTCTAACAAGCTCCTCAACTGACAAGTGCACAACTGCATGCACGTACGCACATACCCCAACATGGAACGGCATGAATCGAAGAAGTGTCCCGAAGGCGGACAGGGCATTATCGTTAAGAAATAAACCAAGGCAAATCTCCACCGCGACACACTGCGAAACAGTGCAACGCCGCGAGAACGAATTGAACCATTTGCAATTGTAGCAACGTGCAAGACACATTATCATGTGAAACAGATGTCACGGCAACTCATCGTAACGCAAATGAGCGGAAACCTACCCAATGAACACTTAGCAACGCAACTGCACAGACATGCAATGCAGTGCCAACCCAGAAAACGCATCAAGAAAGAGTACACACGCAATGCAGAACAGTACGCACTGCGATGGGATGCAAGAGATCCGAAGAACCCGACAAACCAGGGAACGCGGAGATCGGATGACGTAGGGACGGGGAAGCCGAGGAAAGAACCCTGAGAACCTGGGCTCGAGGTCGTGAGTGCCAGCATATCCCTTGCACAGAGAAGTTGCTAGAGAGTGAAAGGGAGAACGAGGAGTGAAAGAAGAGGGAGAAACGATAATACGGGCAGCAGCAGGGATGAGAGACGAGTCAAGGTGTCAAGCACTGGGCGGCGGAGTGAGAAACAGAGGGAAGGAAAAAGGAGGGCGGGATGGACAAGCAAGGAGGAAAGAAGGAGGAGTTGTCTGGACAAAAAAAACACGATCGAGAAGAGAGGGAGTCCGCCGGCCCCCTTGCGGGGCCATCAGGCTGCGAGGATTAAGGTTGCTGCTCCCTGCACCAGTTCCAGTTTCCAGCTGCCATTGTTACAGTACTGCTGTTTGCTTCCTATTGTAAATTGTTGCTGTCCGCGCGAGGGGGGGGAGCCGAAAACCAGCCTGGTTAGCGTCCCCCGGGAGGGTTCTCAGAATTCCTGGGGGGGTAAAAATTAACACCCCTCATGCAGATCGGCGGGGTCAGAGTCCGAAAACACAAAGGATTTGCCACATTTCTAAAATTTCCTGGCACCCCTCACGCAGATCGGCGGGGTCAGGGTCCAAAAACAAATGGGATTTGAAACATGTCTGAAATTCGGTGGCACCCCTCACGCAGATCGGCGGGGGCAGGGTCCAAAACACACATGGGATTTGAAACATTTCTGAAATTCGGTGGCACCCCTCACGCAGATCGGCGAGGTCAGGGTCCAAAAATAAAAGGATTAGCCGCATTTCTGAAATGATCCGGTGGCACCCCTCACGCAGATCGGCGGGGTCAGGGTCCAAAAACATAAGGGATTTGCCACATGTCTGAAATGATCCGGTGGCACCCCTCACGCAGATCGGCGGGGCCAGGGTCCGAAAACATAAGGGATTTGTCACATTTCTGAAATTTCCTGCCACTCCTCACGCATTTCGGCGGGGTCAGGGTCCAAAACCACAAAGGATTTGCCACATTTCTAAAATTTCCTGGCACCCCTCACGCAGATCGGCGGGGCCAGGGTCCGAAAACATAAGGGATTTGTCACATTTCTGAAATTTCCTGCCACTCCGAAAACATAAGGGATTTGTCACGCATTTCGGCGGGGTCAGGGTCCAAAACCACAAAGGATTTGCCACATTTCTAAAATTTCCTGGCACCCCTCACGCAGATCGGCGGGGTCAGGGTGCAAGAACACTGGGGAATTGCCACATTTCTGAAATTTGGTGACACCCCTCACGCAGATCGGCGGGGTCAGGGTCCAAAAACACTAGGGATTTGCTGCATTTTTGAAATTCGGTGGCACCCCTCATGCAGATCGGCGGGGTCAGGGTCCAACAACACAAAGGATTTGCCACATTTCTGAAATTCGGTGGCACCCCTTCACGCAGATCGGCGGGGTCAGGGTCCAAAAACAAATGGGATTTCAAACATTTCTGAAATTCGGTGGCACCCTTCACGCAGATCGGCGAGGTCAGGGTCCAAAAACAGAAGGGATTTGCCATATGTCTGAAATTCGGCGGCACCCCTCACGCAGATCGGCAGGGTCAGGGTCGAAAAACAAATAGGTCCCGACACTGCTTCACGACAAAGCCAAAGCCTCATGATTTCGCCCTTCCATGGGCCATTCTCCGAGAGAGGGGGCAGGCGGCAGGGGGCGAAGTCCTTACGGATAAAAAAGAGAGACAGAGGAACTAAGAGGCCCTCGTGGGTCTCTCGTGGTCTCGTGGGGCCGCATCTGAAGAACATGTCGGAACATAATATGCTGGTCTCAGACTGGTTTGTTCCAGCTGGGAGCCGCGTGATGACTGTCAGGTGGCCCGTTGGGTGGACCCCTGGAAACTGCTAGGACCTCTTCTTGGGCTCTTTGAGAAAATAGGGGGGTATCTTGGGATTTCTCGGAACATACTCGGGCCATCCGGAGGTCTACGACTGCGTCTCGTGGCCGGGGGGGCGCCTCGGGACACCGCGGCTTCAACCTTGGACGCTCCCTGGGCGCCCCCCCTTGGCCGCGTCTCGCGGCCTGGGGGGGCGCCTCGAGACACCACGGCTCCATCCTCGGACGCCCCCCGGGCATCCCCCCTTGACCGCGTCTCGCGGCCGGGGGGGGAGCGCCTCGAGACACTGTGGCTTCAACCTCGGACGCCCCTCGGGCCCCTCCCTTTGACCGCGTCTCCCGGGCTGGGGGCGCCTCGGGACGCGGGGGACGGGAAGGGCCGCGAATAGCCCGCCTCATCGCTGGACGACGGACTCCGAAAGTAGCCCGCCGCCCAAAACCACGCTCCTCGTGCCTCGCCCCCCCCCCCCCCCCCCCCCTCCCCAAAAGCTGCTGCGACGCTGAGCGCCCTCCAGGACGCAGCAATTTTGAGTGGACTGCAGGGGGGCGTGCGGGCGTGCTGTTCGCGTGCGGCCAAGCACCCGACAGGATGCGTCGTGCCTGACTGGGCTGCTCAAGCCGCCGTTGCTTGGATCCTTGCCGCAGACGCGGGTGGCAATCAGCACGGCACTCGGCACGGCATGCAACACGGTCCACGACACGGCACCAGGCAGCGCTTGCTGTGGGTTCCAGGTGCTCCGCAAAAGTCATACTCCCACTGAAGAGAACAACAGAAGATGTACACGACGCGATCTGTTATCGCCAGTCCAAAGGTCCCAGAACGCCCCCCCGCACTTCGCCTGGGGAGCGTTGCGGCCACAATTTCGAAGAGGATCCAGTCGTGGTGCCGAGGGGCCCCTGGAGGCCCCATGGCACCCTAGCAAGGTGGGATCGGAGGGCATGGCTGCACCAGGCCACGCAGAGGGCCATGGCAATGGTCATGCCTGCGGTGCGTTGCGCGGGGCCCTTCTGGGTCACAGCCGCAACTCGGGGACCAGAAATCGTCAGGAGCATAAACTTTTGGAGGTCCGAGCAAGCTTCTGGATCGGCGGAGGACCCCCCTGGCGGCGCCTGCGGCGCAGCCCCTGGCGAGTTCAGCGCGCCAGGGAGGGGAAGGGGGTCCAGCGCTGTTTCAAGAACTCTGCGCGGACCTCAGATCATTTGTCTATTCTGATGCAATCTTTCCCGAAACGAAAAAAACATCCCACGTCGCATGGCTCCCACATGCGCCCACGGACTAGGCACCAGGCGGAACCCCACAAACACCGACTCCGTTGGGACATGATTGCCAGCGGTGTCCCCGAACGGTAAGTTACTGCGCTGTGGATGCGTAAGATATGTGGTGCAAACTGTGTGATGTAAGCTATGTCGTGCGGTCACTGCGGTGCACTCTATACGGTGAAAGCTACGCGGTGCAAGCTATGTGATGCAAGCTATGTGGTGCAAGCCATCTGATGCAGGACATGATACGGCTTGCGAGCTACGCGGCGCATTCTATGTGGTGCGAGCTATATTGTGTAATCTCTGTGGTGCAAACTATGCGGTGCAAGCCCTGTGGTGTGAGCCATGTGGTGTGAGCCATGTGGTGCAAGCTATGTGGTGTAAGATACGTGGTGAAGGCTGTGGCAAAGGCTATGTAGTGCATGGTGGTGCAAGGTAACCAAGTACCACTGATAACAATGCCCCAGGTTCTGGGCGGAAGATACACATTTTCTCGGCAAGTCTCAGCGTACGAGACGTAACTGAAGAGGAGGGGGAGGGCAGGAGGATGAGAATGAGGTGATGTTGCTCGGAATGTGATGCGTCAACATATGTCATCGGAATCCCCCACATCACGATACCCTGCTCGCTCTGGCGGGGCCTCCCTGGAGGGGTGGACGGAGCACGAAACCTGGGACATCGTATGCTAGAACGATACCCGTGGAGGAGATGTGGAGATGGGCCAAAGAGAACTGGGACCCGGGGATAATAAAGTTCGGCCTCGCCGTCCCCCCCCACCGCCGACCAGCGTGCCTTGGCCAGAGGTAATCAACTCTACGGTGGTAATGGGCGGCATACGCTGTTGTCCAGAGCACGCAGTTCTGTGGTGCAGTCTGTGTGGTGCAAGCTGTGTGCGGCCACCCAGCGCACGAGGAACCCACCTGCGGGCACGGGCGAGCATCAGGCGAAACATCGGCACAACCACCCAGGGCACGAGGCGCCCACAAGGCGCCCACGAGGCCACAAGCGGGCACCACGGCCACCAACGGGGCACTGGGAAAAAATCAGCTAAACCCATCCAATCCCTGAGGGACACAAGTTATCACCTTCTGCTTGGGGAGCAACCAGTTTCAGAGCCCCGAGTGCAAGCATCGCCTCGGGAGTACGCATGCTTTCGCACACACTCCTCCTGGCCAGCAGCTTCCTGGGCCCCAGCAGTGGTGAATGCACCCTCAAGGCTTGATGCACCAGGTCGCGTAAAATCGGACCCAAAGATGACCTGGGGTTCACTCCGGCTGGCCTTGCACACTGAATCGGAGTCCATGATGGCCGCTAGGGCCCGAAACTGGCCCCCCAGAAGCCAAATCGAGGAGAAGCGTCCGGCTCGACGTTTACCAACTACCCAGATCTTCCTCACCAAACCCCCCGAAGTCGCTACTGGGTGTGTCAATTTCCTGAGACAAAGGCACACGCTCGGCTCCCGCGACAGGCCCTGCTGGGACCCAGACCGGAGCCGCCCGCAACGACAGCACGACAGAGGACCGGCCGAACAGGCAGCGACACCGAAAGCGAACGCGGCTAAGAAAGACGCAACCACGCCACAACGGCACGGCAGCCGACCGAACCGCACCAGCCGCATGCAACCATCTGCGACGCAGCCGAACCGAGATCGGATCGCGGACGCCCTTGGCACTTGGTGACCCTGGGCACGGCGGACCGTTGGTGCACGGCTCCAGGGGGCTGCGGGGGGGGGCCAAGCCCAGGGTTGCGGGCCGCTGCCGCCGCAGCGCGTCCCGCGATCGGGGGACCTTCAGGGGGCCCGCACCAAGAGGGCCACTCCGGCGAAGGGTCACTCTGACGTGCAGTCGTGAAAGGGCCCTGGGACACAAAAAATAGATACACACAAAGAACAGGATTCCCAATATTTTCTGGGTTTTAGTCTTCCCCCCCACTTCCCATGTTTTTCCATATTTTCTGGGGAATCGACGATTAATTGTGTCTGTGTGTGTGGTTTTTCCCCTCCTGAACTCTGACGTGCAGTCGACGATGGCGATGTGGGCAGACGGCGCCCGCAGCAGCCGGCGGAGGCGCGCAGCTCTTCCATGCGCCCCTCTGCCAGCTGCTCAGCACGCTGCTTGGCGGCCGCCACGTCCGCAGCCACCTCTCTGCGGGCGGAGAGCGCGTGGGCGCGGCCGGTGTGGACGGAACTGAGGCGAGGGCAGGGTGAGGCCAAAGGCGGATAAGGCTAAGCAGGGGATTCTCCGAGAGCCGGCGGATCTGCAGGATGCGTGAGGAGCCGCGACCCTTGCAGAGCGCTTCAGAACGCTCTTTTGGCTTGCTTGCTGGCCCTTGCTTGCTGACTCTTGCTTGCTTGCTATTGCTCGCTTGCGCTTGCTTGCTTCCGCTTGCTTGCTTGCGCTTGCTTGATTTTGCTCCTCCCGTCCTCCTTTCGTCCTCCTCTCATCCTCCTCTCGTTCTCTTCTCCTGTCCATAAATCTACTTGGATTGGAGTCAACGCTGGCTGATATGATGTTTTGTCTTGTTTTGATTAGGCGGCGCAATTTCGTAAATCCGTTTCTCGCTTTAGTAAATCATCGCGTTTCCAAGCATTTGTTTTAAGAACGCGCGTTCATTTATCACCATGACCCCAGCTGGTGAGTCAAAGAACCAGAAATCGTGTTTAGGACAGGTCAAGTCAGGATTATAAAGGGTACAACAATTATGTTGTTTCGTGGCGTTGAAGTCCCAATAATGGCGTTCTGGCAACACTCAGGACCGTGCAGACGCAACAATCAGGTTGATCCGTGGGGGGCTGGAGTCCCGAGAAGAATGTTTTGGCATGCTTTAGGGTCTTCAAAAGGTTGTCTTCTAAAGAGGTAGTTCTCTCAATGGAAGTGAACCCTTGTAGGGGCCTGTGAAGAGGGAGCTTGGAGGAAGGGTTCATTCCAACATCGTTGGTAACTCTTCGGTATACACTGGTCCTCCTCCTCCTCCTCCTTCTCCTGATTTTCCCTGCCATCCTCCCCCAAATGTTCCCCGACGGGTTCCCACAACGGCTGAGGGAGCACATGGTCCGATAGCTTGGCAGAGCTCTTGCCAAAACGGTCGGCCACATGGGCGATTCCAAAAGGCAGGGGGCGGCGGTGATTAGCCCTTGGCGTCTTCGATATCCGCCGCCCCCTGTGGTCTTACCACAGAGGTGCCTGGCGTGCTGAACCCTATACGGATAGAGCTGGTTCTTTGTCCAAAAGAACTCCCCTCTGGGGTTTCGGCCCGTCCCGCCTGCCACCCGGAATAGCCCGCCCGCTGCGTCAGCAGCGTCTCCAAAACGGCCGTTTCGCTCCAGACATCCTCAACACATCTAAAAGGACCCTGAGACACACACACACACACACACATACACACATACACACACATACACACAGACACACAAACACACAAACACACACACAAACACACACAAACACACACAAACACACACAAACACACAAACACACACACACACACGCACACACACACACACACGCACACACACACACACACACACCCATCCACACACACACACAACACACATAAACACACAAAGAACAGGATTCCCCATATTTTCTCAAATTTTCTGGCTTTTCGTCCCCCCCCCACTTCCCATATTTTCCCATATGTTCCTGGGAATCGACGATTAATTGTGTATGTGTGCGTTTTTCCCTCCTGAACATCGCGATGTCGGGGGGGGTCCTAGCCCAAGACGCCTTCTGATAATCATGGGCGTTCCGAACGAGACATTCTCGAACAGTGGCGATGTTGAAATCGAGGGCCATCTGGGAGCCACCTTTTTTTTGAGCCCAGGGGGCGCTGTGGGGGTCCCAGAGGGTCCTCGGGCCTTCGGCAAGTGGGCAACGAGTCGACCACAAGCTCGTGGCCTCCATCCCGCCGCGGGGACAGAGGCCAACAGCGGCGAGAAACATGCACTGGTGACAGACTGCGATGAGCTGCGACCCTCGCACCTCAGCAGCGACGCCCCAGTCACGGCAGAGGAGCAAATAACGTAACAAGACATGGAAAAGAAAGGCTGGGGGGCAGGGGCAACAAACTTGTAGGCGTAGGCCTACTGTGCACCCTCAAGCCACCGCCCCCTGCGAGCAGCGGAGCGTCCCCGCAGAGGCCTCGGATCATCTGTCTGCGCGCGCACACGAGGGGAGGAGGGGGAGGAGGAGGATAACTGCACAGCTCCCTGAGCCCGCCTCGTGCGAGCAATATAAGGGTGGCGGCGCGAGGTGACGCGCAGCCGGGCTTCGAAGTGCTCCTCAGGGGTGCCGGGGGGCCTCCTGGCCGAGTGAGCTGAAAGGAAAGCATCGGTGCAAGCCGCAAGGAGAACATTGGACGAGCATGGTGAGGGTGAAAGCAGCAGGGGGGAGGAGAGCCAGGGGGGTTCGTCAGAAATAGACGTCGACGAAGTAAGAATCTGTCCCAGCCAGCGAGCGAAGAGGTGGTGAAGTCGAGGGCAACGCACGCAGTGGTCAACCGAGTCGAGGTCGAGCCCTGGAGGCGAAGGGCATCCCCAGAGGCACCCTTGAGGAGCGGAATGAAAACGCGACGATGTACGCACCGCGCGAGTGAGAACCCGCAGCGGAGCAATGGCCACATACGGCTGTGTCCGCCGAATCACATTGAACGCATTAATACAGAACCGATATATCATCGCCTCCGTTGCCTGCGGATACCACCGAAGCGCGCGACGGAGAAGGATCTGTTTGGGGTGCTCACGGTAAGTGGCTCGATCCCAGGACATGTGATACAATTTACGCTGGAGGAACTTGTGTGTCGGAAACGCGAACGAAGTCAGACGGATGGTTCGAGAACGTCGGAAGGGCGAAATACCACCGATACAGTCTACGCACATAAGCAATACAGGAAGACACTCCCACCACCCACCACACATGCGTGCAAGGGCGTGCTCAGGGTCGTCCGAGAGGGCTTCGCGGAACTCAACCAAGGCACCGAATGAGTCATGCGTGGTGAGATATCGAAGACATGTGGCGCGCGCGAGGGCGTAGATGTCAGGGAATCCCACAGGGAGGTGAAAGGCAATCAACAGCGCGCACAACCCGTGCGAAAGCGCTTGCCGAGGGCCCGCCGCGAGATACATAACTGCTTCTCGGTGGGCGTGAACAAGAGCAGACGACGCAAGATGTAATTGCATGGTAACGGAGAGGACGGACGAGCACACGACTTTAAATACAACCACCGACTGCGTTAATACAGTGCCCAGCTGCCTCGCATTGCGAACGCGGCGTTGCAACTTGGGCAGTACTTCGCCCCGCGCAACTGAATGGGCACCGCGCCCGATGTAAATCCCGAAATACTTGGCAACCTCTAGAACCTGAATCAACTTGTACTCCCCTTTCAAGGCCCGAACCGAGGCCCTAAGTAAGTCGAGATCCAGAGAGCCCACAATGACGATCTGACGCTTCCGAAAGTTGAGTCTGAGGCCAGCAACTTTTTCAAGGCGACCCTGCAAGGCAGCGAGCGGGCCAAGGGAGCGAAGCACGTTTACCAGCCCGGAGCAGAAGTCATCTGCGCATGCAAACTGCCTGTCGATGTGAGACGACGCCGCCGACGCCATCCAGCGCAATATGGGGTCGACGGCAAGCGCGAAGAGAAGCATGCTGCTCGGGCACCCTTGCTTGACCCCCCTCCCCATCACGAACTCTCCGTGACACCTCCCGCCCAAGCAAACGACAGCTATGTTCTGCTGATACAACAGTCGGTGGAACTGGCAAGCGGAACTGCAGACTCCAATCCGCTCGAGCACGCGCAGCAGCCAAGGGGTGGCAAGCGACGGGAAGGCAGCGCAGAAATCCGTGAGAAAGAGACACGCGTTCCGCCGATCAAGTATGTGTTGTTGAAGCCCCCATCCCTCCGCCTCCACTACATTAGAGAGCATGCCACGGCCAGCAGCGCACGTCTGGACATAGGAGATGGGGATGCCGAGTTAGATGTCAGCGCGCAACGCATTGCGCCCGAAAGAAGTTTAACGTCGGTGTTCGGCATGCTGAGAGGACGCGTGCAGGATGGGTGGCGAGTCGCCTGGCCTGCCTGGTGTCGAGACACCGTCCCCTTGGGCAGGAAAATCATAAGGCTGCGCCTCATCTCTATCGGAAGCTCGGAGATACCATCTGTGGAGAGGGTGGGGTGGACATCATAAAGAAGTCGCAAACCATCAAGAATTTTCCAAACTCCGTGGGGCAAACCGTCTTCCCCAGGCATACTGCGGACCCTCCCCCGAATAAAGTCAAACCGTTCCCCATGCGACAGTTTCCAATCCCGAGGGAGAGGGCTGGGCAACACCTGGATGAACTCGTCGATCTCGGGCCAGGCCGAAAGGTCCAGGGTCGGGGAGGAAAGCGCGCGGGCCCAGTAGTCTTTGAGAGTTGCTGCCGGTTGATCAATCGACGCACGCGGGATACCGTTCTCGTCATATATGCACGTGAGCGAGGTACCCGCCTCCAGAGCTGTTGTTGCCGCTGGACGCGGGCAGCAGGAGAAACTCTAGGCTCGGGCGAAGCGGTGGAGGCATCAATCTCCTGGGCTTCGACAGACAGCAGTTGATTCTGAATGCTGCGCATGTGTGCGCACAGGCCAGCGAAGCGGATGCGCTGAAACGAGGCAAGACAGAAGTGGGCCTGAAGCGCAGGATCGCAGCGAAGAGCGCGATGAATCATCCACTCCCTCCCAAACCTCCATCCTCTGAGTGAATGCGCTGCCCAATATTGCTCCATCTCAAGAGAGATGGCCAACTCGTGCTTCTCAAAGTCGCGGACGTGAGCGGCGGAGACACACATGAGCTCCTCGAGTTGCGCCAGTCGAGCCCGCGGGCCAAGTTCTGTGGACATCTCGGCAATGGAGGCCTCCAAAAAGCGGGTGAACTCAGGGTGATTGACAATCCACTTGGGGGCGGGCCGGTGATCAGGGGGTGGCCGGCAGGGGGGGATGGGGATTACAATCGGGATGTGGTCACTGGGCATTGAGGCTCGAAGTTTGCCGATAACCCCACAACGAACGCCCATGTCGCGAAGTGTAGCTCGAGGCAGCGAGGTGCATGCGCGATCGAGCCTAGCCGAATGCATGATGATGCCGTCCCGCACCTCCCTCCGCGCGTCCTCC